CTTTATAAAACTACCTCCTACCACCTCCTTCTGCTACCACCTCCTTCTGCTACCACCTCCTTCTTTGACCACCTCCATCTACTAGCTCCTCCTTCTATCTCCTTCTTGCACCTCCTACTAGCTCCACCATCTAGTTCCTCCTTTTTGCTCCTCCTCCTCGCTCCTTCCCTGGTCTCGTTGCTCTCTCAGATCCACTTCCTGTTAGCAGAATGCTAATTAGCCGCGGCCTGAGTCCTCGTCAGACTCAGAAATGTTACGACAAAAAAACTCACAAATAATGATTTAGAAAAACTGAGGAAGATGCGGAACAATGTTCATGGTTAAAACTCCAAAAGGAGAAGCAGCGGCTCTACTCCGAGCTCCTCCTGCGTGAGTGAGCACCTCACCCTATCTCTAAGGGAGAGACCAGAGAGAGACCAGAGAGAGACCAGAGAGAGACCAGAGAGAGATCAGAGAGAGAGACCAGAAAGTCAACAGAGAGACCAGAGAGAGACCAGAGAGAGAGACCAGAGAGAGACCAGAGAGAGACCAGAGAGAGATCAGAGAGAGAGACCAGAAAGTCAACAGAGAGACCAGAGAGAGACCAGAGAGAGAGACCAGAGAGAGACCAGAGAGAGACCAGAGAGAGATCAGAGAGAGAGACCAGAAAGTCAACAGAGAGACCAGAGAGAGACCAGAGAGAGAGACCAGAGAGAGACCAGAGAGAGACCAGAGAGAGACCAGAGAGAGATCAGAGAGAGAGACCAGAGAGAGACCAGAGAGAGACCAGAGAGAGAGACCAGAGAGAGACCAGAGAGAGACCAGAGAGAGATCAGAGAGAGAGACCAGAGAGAGACCAGAGAGAGACCAGAGAGAGAGACCAGAGAGAGAGACCAGAGAGAGACCAGAGAGAGAGACCAGAGAGAGAGACCAGAGCGAGACCAGAGAGAGACCAGAGAGAGAGACCAGAGAGAGAGATCAGAGAGAGACCAGAGAGAGATCAGAGAGAGAGAGACCAGAGAGAGAGACCAGAGAGAGAGAGACCAGAGAGAGAGACCAGAGAGAGACCAAAGAGAGAGACCAGAGAGAGAGACCAGAAAGAGATCAGAGAGAGAGAGCAGAAAAGGACCAGAGAAGGACCAGAGAGAGACCAGAGAGAGAGACCAGAGAGAGACCAGAAAGAGACCAGAGAGAGAGCAGAGAGAGACCAGAGAGAGAGACCAGAGAGAGAGACCAGAGAGAGAGACCAGAGAGAGAGACCAGAGAGAGACCAGAGAGAGACCAGAGAGAGACCAGAGAGAGACCAGAGAGAGACCAGAGAGAGAGACCAGAGAGAGAGACCAGAGAGAGACCAGAGAGAGAGAGACCAGAGAGAGAGACCAGAGAGAGAGATCAGAGAGAGACCAGAGAGAGATCAGAGAGAGAGACCAGAGAGAGAGACCAGAGAGAGAGACCAGAGAGAGAGACCAGAAAGAGATCAGAGAGAGAGAGCAGAAAGAGGACCAGAGAAGGACCAGAGAGAGACCAGAGAGAGAGACCAGAGAGAGACCAGAAAGAGACCAGAGAGAGAGCAGAGAGAGACCAGAGAGAGAGACCAGAGAGAGACCAGAGAGAGAGAGACCAGAGAGAGACCTGAGAGAGACCAGAGAGAGACCAGAGAGAGACCAGAGAGAGACCAGAGAGAGAGACCAGAGAGAGAGACCAGAGAGAGACCAGAGAGAGAGAGACCAGAGAGAGACCAGAGAGAGAGACCAGAGAGAGAGACCAGAGAGAGACCAGAGAAAGAGACCAGAGAGAGAGACCAGAGAGAGAGACCAGAAAGAGATCAGAGAGAGAGAGCAGAAAAGAGACCAGAGAGAGAGGACCAGAGAGAGACCAGAGAGAGACCAGAGAGAGACCAGAAAGAGACCAGAGAGAGAGCAGAGAGAGACCAGAGAGAGAGACCAGAGAGAGAGACCAGAGAGAGAGACCAGAGAGAGACCTGAGAGAGACCAGAGAGAGACCAGAGAGAGAGACCAGAGAGAGACCAGAGAGAGAGACCAGAGAGAGACCAGAGAGAGAGACCAGAGAGAGACCAGAGAGAGAGACCAGAGAGAGACCAGAGAGAGAGACCAGAGAGAGACCAGAGAGAGACCAGAGAGAGACCAGAGAGAGACCAGAGAGAGACCAGAGAGAGAGACCAGAGAGAGACCAGAGAGAGACCAGAGAGAGAGACCAGAGAGAGAGTCCAGAGAGAGAGACCAGAGAGAGAGTCTACCGCCTCTGACTGAAACATGCATAAATAAACTGAGTCTTGGATCTTTCTGTGAGTAAAGTGTTCTTGGTCCAAACCGAGACAAACGCAGACGACTCAAATGCAAATGTCCGGAACATAAAGAAACGGTGATAAAAGCGTGGTTACAGCGGCGCCGCGTCCGCCTGCACGGTTCTGCGGCGCCTATAGGACGCTACACGGTTTAATTACTGTGGAGCTGTGTACGTTTGCTGAGCCTCTCGTTATTGATGAGCAGAGTGGGCCTGAGTTTGCAGATCGGGCGCCAGTTCTGCAAACAACAAGTAAACGGGCTCTGGCGGCTTCAGCGGAACATTCTTCAGACAAAGTGCTGAGCGGCTGCTGTGCTCGGCTTCAACCATGAAGGAGGGGAAACCATGAAGGAGGGGAAACTCTGCCGTTTGGCACAAGGCAGCGATAACACCAGCAACATACCAGCAACAAACACCAGAGACACACCAGCGATAACACCAGCGACACACCAGAGACACACCAGCGATAACACCAGAGACACACCAGCAACAAACACCAGAGACACACCAGCGATAACACCAGAGACACACCAGCAACAAACACCAGAGACACACCAGCGATAACACCAGAGACACACCAGCAACAAACACCAGAGACACACCAGCAACAAACACCAGAGACACACCAGCGATAACACCAGAGACACACCAGCAACAAACACCAGAGACACACCAGCAATAACACCAGAGACATACCAGCGATAACACCAGAGACACACCAGCAACAAACACCAGCGACACACCAGCAACAAACACCAGAGACACACCAGAGACACACCAAGGATAACACCAGCGACACACCAGCGATAACACCAGAGACACACCAGCGATAACACCAGAGACACACCAGCAACAAACACCAGAGACACACCAGCGATAACACCAGAGACACACCAGCGATAAAACCAGAGACACACCAGCGATAACACCAGTGATACACCAGCGATAACACCAGTGACACACCAGCAATAACACCAGACACACCAAAGATAACACCAGCGACACACCAGCAACAAACACCAGAGACACACCAGCGATAACACCAGTGACACACCAGCGATAACACCAGTGACACACCAGCGATAACACCAGAGACACACCAGCGATAACACCAGACACACCAGCGATAACACCAGAGACACACCAGCGATAACACCAGAGACACACCAGCAATAACACCAGAGACACACCAGCGATAACACCAGAGACACACCAGCAATAACATCAGAGACACACCAGCGATAACACCAGAGACACACCAGCAATAACACCAGAGACACACCAGCGACAAACACCAGAGACACACCAGCGATAACACCAGAGACACACCAGCAATAACACCAGAGACACACCAGCGACAAACACCAGAGACACACCAGCGATAACACCAGCAACACACCAGCGATAACACCAGACACACCAGCGATAACACCAGAGACACACCAGCGATAACACCAGAGACACACCAGCGATAACACCAGAGACACACCAGCGATAACACCAGAGACACACCAGCAATAACACCAGAGACACACCAGCGATAACACCAGAGACACACCAGCGATAACACCAGAGACACACCAGCGATAACACCAGTGACACACCAGCAATAACACCAGACACACCAAGGATAACACCAGCGACACACCAGCAACAAACACCAGAGACACACCAGAGACACACCAGCGATAAACTGGCGGCACGGTGGCTGAGTGGATAGCACTCTCGCCTCTCAGCAAGAAGGTCCTGGGTTCGAATCCCGGTCGGACCAGGGCCTTTCTGAGTGGAGTTTGCATGTTCTCCCCGTGTCTGCGTAGGTTTCCTCCGGGTACTCCGGTTTCCCCTACCACTAAAAATATGTCCAATAGTTCTGTCATGTGCCTCCTGTACTGGCCCCTCCCATCTCTGTGTGGAGTGAGAGACAAATGCCCAAAATTAACAATTGTAAACCGCTTTGAGACTCAGCTCTGCAGTGTAAAGGCGGTATATAAATAAAAACTTACTAACTTACTTACTTACAGAGACACACCAGCGATAACACCAGAGACACACCAGCGATAACACCAGAGACACACCAGCAATAACACCAGAGACACACCAGCGACAAACACCAGAGACACACCAGCGATAACACCAGAGACACACCAGCGATAACACCAGCAACACACCAGCGATAACACCAGACACACCAGCGATAACACCAGAGACACACCAGCGATAACACCAGAGACACACCAGCGATAACACCAGCAGAATGTGTGGAAATAAGGAGTTTACGTGGCAACGACAGCGCGAAAAAACAACAGCTTTGTCCAATTTGACACAATTTTAAGGAAAACCAAAGTCTATGGAGTGGAGCAAGAAGGTCTCAGAGAGAGACCAGAGAGAGACCAGAGAGAGACCAGAGAGAGACCAGAGAGAGAGAGACCAGAGAGAGAGAGACCAGAGAGAGAGACCAGGGAGAGACCAGAGAGAGACCAGAGAGAGACCAGAGAGAGACCAGAGAGAGAGACCAGAGAGAGACCAGAGAGAGAGAGACCAGAGAGAAAGAGATCAGAGAGAGAGAGACCAGAGAGAAAGAGATCAGAGAGAGAGACCAGGGAGAGACCAGAGAGAGAGACCAGAGAGAGACCAGAGAGAGAGACCAGAGAGAGAGAGACAAGAGGGAGAGACCTTCTTGTTGAGAAACGAGAGGTTAAGTGAGAACAGACTCTTACCCTCCGGATCTTGTGCAGTCGTCGTGGAGACAGACTCTTGGTGCTGGTGGGAGACCCTCCACAAACGGCCGGACCCTCGTCCTCATCCTCCTGCAAAACACACACATGGTATGAACAAAACACACACATGGTATGAGCAAAACACACACATGGTATGAACAAAACACACACATGGTATGAACAAAACACACACATGGTATGAACAAAACACACACATGGTATGAACAAAACACACATGGTACATTCACTAAACATCAAATATCACCTCAAACTTCAGACATAAAAGACAACACTGTACTTTAATGCAATGATTGATGCATGAATGGTCATGTGCAATACAGAGCAGTGTGCAATACAGAGCAGTGTAAAATACAGAGCAGTGTGCAATACAGAGCAGTGTAAAATACAGAGCAGTGTGCAATACAGCTGTGTGCAATACAGAGCTATGTGCAATACAGAGCAGTGTGCAATACAGAGCTGTGTGCAATACAGAGCTGTGTGCAATACAGAGCAGTGTGCAATACAGAGCAGTGTGCAATACAGAGCTGTGTGCAATACAGAGCAGTGTGCAATACAGAGCAGTGTGCAATACAGAGCTGTGTGCAATACAGAGCTGTGTGCAATACAGAGCTGTGTGCAATACAGAGTTGTGTGCAATACAGAGCAGTGTGCAATACAGAGCAGTGTGCAATACAGAGCTATGTGCAATACAGAGCAGTGTGCAATACAGAGCAGTGTGCTATACAAAGCAGTGTGCAATACAGAGCAGTGTGCAATACAGAGCAGTGTGCAATACAGAGCAGTGTGCTATACAGAGCAGTGTGCAATACAGAGCTGTGTGCAATAATAATAATTAATTTTATACAGTGCTTTTCTGGACGCTCAAAGACGCATTATTCATTGACTAAAAACACGGTGGTGATAAACTACTGTAGCCACAGCTGCCCTGGGGCACACTGACAGAAGCGAGGCAACCAGTCTGTGCCATGAGCCCCTCCCACCTCCACCAACCATTCACACACACACCAGACTCATTCTAATGTGGGGGAAGTGTCTTGCCTAAGGACACAACCACAGTCTCGCAATTTACAGCCGCAGCCGCCCCACTGTGGCACCTGCTGTTCCCAGAGGTCTCCCATCACAGTACTGACCAGGCCTTGCCCTGCTTAGCTTCAGAGCTCTGACAGGATCTGGCTTTCACCTGCAGGTGGCGCCACATAAGCCACAGAGGGCCGTGCAGTACATTTCTCACTGGGAACGAGACTCTCTGTTGTGCCGGTATCGGCCTGTTCCATTTCCAGGTCTGACTCTGGACTGAACCATCTGCGCTCCTCGACCAGAACCAGAGGAATATTTTTAATCCCACAAACCAGAAGTGAACTCCACATGGTCCTCCGACAGAACAGGCTTTTTTCAAGAAGCAGAAACAAAGACGGATTTCTCATTTGTATTTTAGCTCTAAGTCCCTGGGGTTCTGTGTTCGCGTGCCCCCCTCCCCCTCTTGCCCTCCCCCCTCACCCCTCCGCCTCTCCCCCTCTTAACCCTCCCCCCTCGTCCCCCCCCCCCTCGCCCCAACAGATCAAACTGCTGTTGCCCCTCACACACAGGCGTTATGGAAACATACTTTACACTGAGGATCAGAGGCTGATCAAACACAATACGACCAAGTCCGTGCGGTGACATCACAGGCTGCAGACCGACCAATCACAGCGCGTTAGGAGTGAAGGCCCGCCGTGTAGAACAGGCCGCCTGTCTGTACGCATGAGGCAGGGAGGGGAGACCAGGGGGAGACCGGGGAGGCAGGGATGGGAGACCAGGGGGAGACCGGGGAGGCAGGGAGGGGAGACCAGGGGGAGACCGGGGAGGCAGGGAGGGCAGACCAGGGGGAGACCAGGGAGGTGGGAAGGGGAGACCAGGGGGAGACCGGGGAGGCAGGGAGGGGAGACCAGGGGGAGACTAGGGGGAGAGAGGGCCAGACTAGTGAGGCAGGGAGGGGGAGAGAGGGGGAGAGAAGGGGAGATGGGTAAGGCAGGGAGAGAGACCAGAGAGAGACCAGGGAGATACCAGAGAGGTTGTGGTTGTGTCTTTAGGCAAGACACTTCCCCCACATTAGAATGAGTCTGGTGTGTGTGTGAATGGTTGGTGGTGGTGGGAGGGGCCGATGGCACAGACTGGTTGCCTCGTTTCTGTCAGTGTGCCCCAGGGCAGCTGTGGCTACAGTAGAAGCGTCCAGAAAAAAGTGCTGTTTAAAACCAATATATTATTATTATTATCATTATCACATGTTTGTGCCAGAGGTTCCGGATATGAGCGTGGATGGATCTAAAAACAGCTCCAGGTCTGATGCCTTGTGTTTCTTACCCGGGCTTTGAGGCGGCCCTTGAAGTCCCGGATTCCTCTTTTGGCGTGACTTTTGGCCTGAAAAAAACAAAAAGGACAGAATATGGGATTATATTCTGATTATTGTTGATAGAGACCAGACAGAGACCAGAGAGAGACCAGAGAGAGACCAGAGAGAGACCAGAGAGAGACCAGAGAGAGACCAGAGAGAGACCAGAGAGAGACCAGAGAGAGACCAGAGAGAGACCAGAGAGAGACCAAGAGAGAGACCAGAAAGAGACCAGAGAGAGACCAGAGAGAGACCAGAGAGAGACCAAAGAGAGGCCAGAGAGAGGCCAGAGAGAGACCAGAGAGAGACCAAGAGAAAGACCAGAGAGAGACCAGACAGAGACCAGAGAGACCAGAGAGACCAGAGAGAGACCAGAGAGACCAGAGAGAGACCAAGAGAAAGACCATAGAGAGACCAGAGAGAGACCAGAGAGAGACCAAAGAGAGACCAGAGAGAGACCAGAGAGAGACCAGAGAGAGACCAAAGAGAGACCAGAGAGAGACCAGAGAGAGACCAGAGGGAGACCAAAGAGAGACCAGAAAGAGACCAGAGAGAGACCAGAGAGAGACCAGAGAGAGACCAGAGAGAGACCAGAGAGAGACCAGAGGGAGACCAAGAGAGACCAGAAAGAGACCAGAGAGAGACCAGAGGGAGACCAGAGAGAGAGACCAGAGAGAGGCCAGAGAGACCAGAGAGAGACCAGAGAGAGACCAAAGAGAGACCAGAGAGAGACCAGAAAGAGACCAGAGAGAGACCAGAGAGAGAGACCAGAGAGAGACCATAGAGAAAGACCAGAGAGAGACCAGAGAGAGACCAGAAAGAGACCAGAGAGAGACCAGAGAGAGAGACCAGAGAGAGACCAGAGAGAGACCAGAGAGAGAGACCAGAGAGAGAACCAAGAGAGACCCAGAGAGCCAGAGCAAGACCAAGAGACCAGAGAGAGACCAGAGAAGAACCAGAGAGAGAGACCAGAGAGAGACCAGAGCGAGACCAGAGAGAGACCAGAGAGGAGACCAGAGAGAGACCAAGAGAGAGACATCAGAGAGGGACCATAAGAGAGACCAGAGAGAGACCAGAGAAGAGACCAGAGAGAGACCAGAGAGACCAGAGAGACAGAGAGAGGACCCAAGAGAGAGACCAGAGAGAGACCAGAGAGACCAGAGAGGAGAGACCAGAGAGAGACCAGAGGAGACCAGAGAGAGACACAGAGAGACCAGAGCGAGACCAGAGGGACCAGAACGGGACCAGAGGGACCAGAGCGAGACCAGAGGGACCAGAGCGAGACCAGAGGGACCAAAGCGAGACCAGAGGGACCTGAGCGGGACCAGAGGGACCAGAGCGAGACCAGAGGGACCAGAGCGAGACCAGAGGGACCAGAGCGGGACCAGAGAGAGACCAGAGGGACCAGAGGGACCAGAGCGGGACCAAAGGGACCAGAGCAAGACCAGAGACAGAGAGACCAGAGAGACCAGAGAGAGACCAGAGGGACCAGAGCGAGACCAGAGACACCAGAGAGAGACCAGAGAGAGAGACCAGAGAGAGACCAGAGTGAGACCAGAGAGAGACCAGAGGGACCAGAGCGAGACCAGAGAGAGACCAGAGGGACCAGAGCGAGACCAGAGGGACCAGAGCGAGACCAGAGAGAGACCAGAGACAGACCAGAGAGAGACCAGAGACCTTTTCTGGATCATCTCCCTCTCTCCTCTCTTTTCAACACAATTACTAGTCGTTGAAACAGTGAGACTGTACCTTAGTCACTGCTGTGTTGATGAAGGCTCCACCTCTCTGCAAGACACAGGGACTATGTTAGGAACTGTCCTGGGTCTACAGTCTCAGTCCTGGGTCTACAGCCTCAGTCCTGGGTCTACAGCCTCAGTCCTGGGTCTACAGCCTCAGTCCTGGGTCTACAGCCTCAGTCCTGGGTCTACAGCCTCAGTCCTGGGTCTACAGCCTCAGTCCTGGGTCTACAGCCTCAGTCCTCGGTCTACAGCCTCAGTCCTCGGTCTACAGCCTCAGTCCTGGGTCTACAGCCTCAGTCCTGGGTCTACAGCCTCAGTCCTGGGTCTTATTCTACATGGAGGTATGAATATATTGCTGGATGTTGTTGTTTGTGTAAAAAGGTCAGAAACATTGAAAAAGGATCAAACCCAAACTATATTTATTTAAAGCGGCGTCTGATCCAAACACGAGTCTGAGATTCTCTGATTCTGCTTTTATGCTTTTGTCTTTCTCTGGTGTTGGAGACGAACAGACCAGAGGTGGAGCTGTCATCGAGGAACACGCCATCTTTAAATCACTCAGCGCCAGAACACGTGTGTGACATCACAGGCGTGTGAGCGAGCACTGACCCACATGGTTCTTCTTCATGGTCTGATGAGTTTAATCAATGTTACAGAATTTTACAGCAAAACATCAATAAATGTAAATATAACACATCCATCCAGTTTCTTCCCCTTAATCCATTTCTGAGTCGTGGGTGGCAGTCAGAGCACCAGCCCCACACTGATCCTCCTGCAGGAGCTGAGATCTTTCAGCGGGGGCTTCAGGCAAAGTGGGGTTAAGTGTCTTGCCCAAGGACACAACGACAGCAGACATCAGTGGAAGTTGGTGGACTCGAACCCACGACCTTCAGGGTCAAATCCTGAGGCTGAGTTTATACTGAGGCTGAGTTTATACTGAGGCTGAGTTTATACTGAGGCTGTGTTTATACTGAGGCTGTGTTTATACTGAGGCTGAGTTTATACTGAGGCTGAGTTTATACTGAGGCTGTGTTTATACTGAGGCTGTGTTTATACTGAGGCTGTGTTTATACTGAGGCTGAGTTTATACTGAGGCTGTGTTTATACTGAGGCTGTGTTTATACTGAGGCTGAGTTTATACTGAGGCTGAGTTTATACTGAGGCTGAGTTTATACTGAGGCTGAGTTTATACTGAGGCTGTGTTTATACTGAGGCTGAGTTTATACTGAGGCTGTGTTTATACTGAGGCTGTGTTTATACTGAGGCTGTGTTTATACTGAGGCCCTGTTTATACTGAGGCTGAGTTTATACTGAGGCTGCGTTTATACTGAGGCTGAGTTTATACTGAGGCCCTGTTTATACTGAGGCCGTGTTTATACTGAGGCCGTGTTTATACTGAGGCTGTGTTTATACTGAGGCTGAGTTTATACTGAGGCTGAGTATATACTGAGGCCCTGTTTATACTGAGGCTGAGTTTATACTGAGGCCCTGTTTATACTGAGGCCGTGTTTATACTGAGGCTGTGTTTATACTGAGGCTGTGTTTATACTGAGGCTGAGTTTATACTGAGGCCCTGTTTATACTGAGGCCGTGTTTATACTGAGGCCGTGTTTATACTGAGGCTGTGTTTATACTGAGGCTGAGTTTATACTGAGGCTGTGTTTATACTGAGGCTGTGTTTATACTGAGGCTGTGTTTATACTGAGGCCCTGTTTATACTGAGGCTGTGTTTATACTGAGGCTGTGTTTATACTGAGGCTGCGTTTATACTGAGGCTGTGTTTATACTGAGGCTGTGTTTATACTGAGGCCGTGTTTATACTGAGGCTGTGTTTATACTGAGGCTGTGTTTATACTGAGGCTGAGTTTATACTGAGGCCCTGTTTATACTGAGGCCGTGTTTATACTGAGGCTGTGTTTATACTGAGGCTGTGTTTATACTGAGGCTGAGTTTATACTGAGGCCCTGTTTATACTGAGGCCGTGTTTATACTGAGGCCGTGTTTATACTGAGGCTGTGTTTATACTGAGGCTGTGTTTATACTGAGGCTGAGTTTATACTGAGGCTGTGTTTATACTGAGGCCCTGTTTATACTGAGGCTGTGTTTATACTGAGGCTGTGTTTATACTGAGGCTGCGTTTATACTGAGGCTGTGTTTATACTGAGGCTGAGTTTATATTGAGGCCCTGTTTATACTGAGGCCGTGTTTATACTGAGGCCCTGTTTATACTGAGGCTGTGTTTATACTGAGGCTGTGTTTATACTGAGGCTGTGTTTATACTGAGGCCCTGTTTATACTGAGGCTGTGTTTATACTGAGGCTGTGTTTATACTGAGGCTGTGTTTATACTGAGGCCCTGTTTATACTGAGACGCTGCGCAGACGTTTCCAGGCTATTAACAGAAATAATAGCTCCTAATGCAGATTTCTCAGCGTTCACATGAGGTTGAAAAACGATGTAGTTCTAGCGCCCGGCCAGTAGGGGGCAGAGAAACTTTACAACACTCACACGACCCCGAGCCCCGTGCCCAGCCCCCCTCCTGGCAGTGTACTCACTTCCTGTGCCAGACCCTCAGAACTCACCAACATCATTCTGCATTTTAACAGCAGCTGTGAAAATGGAAACTGAACCTAGAGCTTCGCGTGGTCTCGTTTGGACGAACGAAAGTGTAGAATTATCCTCTGTGCCGCGCTGGAAGCCCACGAAGCTAGTTAATGCGACCGCCGCCATTGTTGTTTACGTTTGTTCTCCGCTACTGCGCATGTCCAAATGTATGTGCGGGGAGCAGCGGAGGTGGGGGTCAGAGCAGCAGGAGGTGGGGGTCAGAGCAGAGGGGGATTTCACACCTTTCCCCTTTGAGTTGTCCCACTCTGAGGCTGGATCTGAACACTTACGTTTTGACCCCCCTGGAACACGGTCTTTGTGTGAACGGTTGGTAGCAAACGACATCCAACTATAGAGTTTTACTGCCACACTGTCTCCGTGTAAACTCAGCCTGAGTTAGTAAGTAGTAGTACATTGTCTTTATTTATATAGCGCCTTTCACAGACAAAGCACTTGTTGTTTTTAGGCATTAGTCTCTGGCTCCACACAGAGAGGGGAGGGGCCAGTACAGGAGGCACACACCTATTGCACATGTTTTAGTGGTAGGGGAAACCGGAGTACCCGGAGAAAACCTACGCAGACATGGGGAGAACATCCAAACTCCACTCAGAAAGGTAATGTTCTGACCGGGATTTGAACCCAGGACCTTCTTCCTGAAAAGCGAGAGTGCTAACCACTCAGCCACCAGCAGAACAAGCAACAAAACAATAGAAGTAGATCCAACAGAATCTGCTCCAACCTCAGGATGTTAAATGTCTCTTAGTTGTTGCAGATGATTTTGTTCTGGTTAATGCTGTGAACATGACGCTGCAAAGGCTCATGGGAGATGGAGCTGATGTGAACCATGAGTGAGGCGTTTCCCAAACATCACCAATGAACTGAACAACAACACACACTCCTGTGTCTACACACTCAGTGTGTGTCTGAGAAATGACCACAGAAGGAGCGGAGCTGATGCATTCTGGGACATCACACGTTAAAGTTTAAGCAATGGAACCTGTAGTCTGTTCATTGCTATTCACCCACAGTCTGTTTCATGGTACCCCTGATATCGACCTGACCATTTATAGATATCTGTATGATGCAGTATGAACAGGAGTGAGTGTCTGAGACGTACCTTGACCGTGTGCATCCACTGGTGATAGTGTCTGGAGTTACCTGCAGAACAAACATTTGAATCAATTCTATTGTTTTTATGAACCATTTTCCAACATATTAGTGAGATTAACCACTGGTGAGACCATTGTTACAGAAACTATTACGGTTATATTACATATTAAAGATTATTTTCTCACAACCACATCATTTAATCTGTTCTGAATGTGATTAACCCTCAGTCTTCACGTTCTTCTCGTCTGATATGTGGCAGAACATGAGAGCATCCAGTTTTTATGTTTTTAAACACAGTCCTGACCAGACTGAGACTGACCCCCCTGGTTTATGGCCTTCATGGTTCAATGTTTATGGTAATGTAAATGTCGTGGTTGTTTTAGACTCAGTGGGGGCCGCACTGACGTCCATCAGGGACCACTGCACACCTGTTCTGGGGCCGCAGACGGCTCGTGGGCCGTGTGTTTGCAGCTTCTGAGTTAGAGGTGTTCCTGAGGCTGTTCTGTCAGACGTATAAAGACCTGGACACAGCTGATTGAGCGTCAGCCGCTTGTACTCACTGCCGCAGAAGCCGCCGTCGGTGATCTCCTCTTCAAACACGTCGCTGAAGCCGCGGCCTGCGTTCAATTTGGCCAAACGTCCGTCGATAAACTGCAGACATAAATCACAGGCTGGTTACTTTAGCGGCTAATGGCAGAGCGGCTAACGCGGAGCAGCTGAGGAGGCTGCGCTAACGGGAACTTTTCATTTCCTCTCCTTCTCTTCGCGGTCGTAAAAGTGGTCGTCGTAAATATGAGTTTCATGTAAAGTTGAGACGGGAAATCCAGCCGAGGATTATCCAGGTGCTCCAGGGCGGACTCTTACATCCACAACATCATGTATTTGTGACTCAGAGGAGTTTACAAAGTTGTGGATTCACCGAGAACAGATCAGAAAATCAATCTGTTAAAACACAGGAAATACAATAACAACAAACTCATAAGGTCCAGAGAGACCTCCACTAAAACATGACCAGGGAAAATCCTTCAGCTCTTCTTCTGTCTCTGGTCTCTCTCTGGTCTCTCTCTCTGGTCTCTCTCTGGTCTCTCTCTCTGGTCTCTCTCTGGTCTCTCTCTCTGGTCTCTCTCTCTGGTCTCTCTCTGGTCTCTCTCTCTGGCCTCTCTCTCTGGCCTCTCTCTGGTCTCTCTCTGGTCTCTCTCTCGCCTCTCTCTGGTCTCTCTCTGGTCTCTCTCTGGTCTCTCTCTGGTCTCTCTCTCGCCTCTCTCTGGTCTCTCTCTGGTCTCTCTCTCTGGTCTCTCTCTGGTCTCTCTCTCTGGTCTCTCTCTGGTCTCTCTCTGGTCTCTCTCTCTGGTCTCTCTCTCTGGTCTCTCTCTCTGGTCTCTCTCTCTGGTCTCTCTCTCTGGTCTCTCTTTCTGGTCTCTCTATCTGGTCTCTCTTTCTGGTCTCTCTGTCTGGTCTCTCTCTCTGGTCTCTCTCTCTGGTCTTTCTCTCTGGTCTCTCTCTCTGGTCTCTCTCTCTGGTCTCTCTCTCTGGTCTCTCTCTCTGGTCTCTCTCTCTGGTCTCTCTCTCTGGTCTCTCTCTCTGGTCTCTCTCTCTGGTCTCTCTCTCTGGTCTCTCTCTCTGGTCTTTCTCTCTGGTCTCTCTCTCTGGTCTCTCTCTCTGGTCTCTCTCTCTGGTCTTTCTCTCTGGTCTCTCTCTCTGGTCTCTCTCTCTGGTCTCTCTCTCTGGTCTCTCTCTCTGGTCTCTCTCTCTGGTCTCTCTCTCTGGTCTCTCTCTCTGGTCAAAACAGCGTTCCCAGCTGAGTGGCCTCTCAGCGGTGAACGCCTCAGGATTCCCCCAGATGAGCTGCAGGACGACCCGCTCAGGCTGCTGCCCCCACGACCCGGCAACGGATAAAGTGGAAGAGGAGGGATACTCTAGCACTAAAATATTTTCTCATATTCTAAATCACGCAAAGCAAAAACAAATGTCAAAACCCTGAGATTTCCTGCCTTAAACGTTGGTTGCCGTGGTGATGGGGAATGGCCGCCATGACACCCGGATGCGTGGGAACGACCGCGGCGCCAAAACAAACACGTCGTAACCGCTCCACAGTTTATAAACCACTGCAGCTCCAGGAGAACGGAACAGAAGGACTTAGCTTAATTAAAGTTTGGTCAGAGTTAGTGAGTAATGAGGCCTTCATTCCATCAGTGATGTGGCGAGATTAAAGCTCAGGTATGTAACTTTCAAACCACAGAAGGGTATAAACTAACTAACTGGTTTCCTGTTCTCTCTGGTCTCTCTCTCTGGTCTCTCTCTGGTCTCTCTCTGGTCTCTCTCTCTGGTCTCTCTCTCTGGTCTCTCTCTCTGGTCTCTCTCTCTCTCTCTGGTCTCTCTCTCTGGTCTCTCTCTCTCTGGTCTCTCTCTCTGGTCTCTCTCTGGTCTCTCTCTCTGGCTCTCTCTCTCTCTCTCTGGTCTCTCTCTCTGGTCTCTCTCTCTGGTCTCTCTCTCTGGTCTCTCTCTCTGGTCTCTCTCTCTGGTCTCTCTCTCTGGTCTCTCTCTCTGGTCTCTCTCTCTGGTCTCTCTCTCTGGTCTCTCTCTCTGGTCTCTCTCTCTGGTCTCTCTCTCTGGTCTCTCTCTCTGGTCTCTCTCTCTGGTCTCTCTCTCTGGTCTGGTCTCTCTCTCTGGTCTCTCTCTCTGGTCTCTCTCTCTGGTCTCTCTCTGGTCTCTCTCTGGTCTCTCTCTGGTCTCTCTGGTCTGGTCTCTCTCTGGTCTCTCTCTCTGGTCTCTCTCTGGTCTCTCTCTCTGGTCTCTCTCTCTGGTCTCTCTCTCTGGTCTCTCTCTCTGGTCTCTCTATGGTCTCTCTCTGGTCTCTCTCTGGTCTCTCTCTGGTCTCTCTCTGGTCTCTCTCTCTCTGGTCTCTCTCTCTGGTCTCTCTCTCTCTGGTCTCTCTCTCTGGTCTCTCTCTCTCTGGTCTCTCTCTCTGGTCTCTCTCTCTCTGGTCTCTCTCTCTGGTCTCTCTCTCTGGTCTCTCTCTGGTCGGTCTCTCTCTCTGGTCTCTCTCTATGGTCTCTCTATGGTCTCTCTCTGGTCTCTCTCTGGTCTCTCTCTGGTCTCTCTCTCTCTCTGGTCTCTCTCTCTGGTCTCTCTCTCTCTGGTCTCTCTCTCTGGTCTCTCTCTCTGGTCTCTCTCTGGTCTCTCTCTCTGGTCTCTCTCTCTGGTCTCTCTCTGGTCTCTCTCTGGTCTCTCTCTCTCTGGTCTCTCTCTCTGGTCTCTCTCTCTCTGGTCTCTCTCTCTGGTCTCTCTCTCTGGTCTCTCTCTGGTCTCTCTCTGGTCTCTCTCTGGTCTCTCTCTGGTCTCTCTCTGGTCTCTCTCTGGTCTCTCTCTGGTCTATTTCTAGTCTCTCTCTGGTCGTGGATTGTTTTTCAAAATGGCCGTGGGGAAAATCTGAAAGAACACATTTGTGAGTCAGCTGCATGAGCACCATTCATTTAACGAGTGCATTCAAAAGTCCACAGCGACTAAACTAGACTGGTTCAAAAAAAAATATTCCCATCAACATCGACAGCATCTGGAATGAAGAGGACCAAGAACCACTTTTGGACTTTTTCGAGAGTAAAGAAGGCACCACACAAAAGCGTTGGGTAATTCTCCTTCCTGGTACACCCCCACCGGGGGGAGTGAGATTGCAGCGTGGACCTTTTGGGGCCAGGAGTTAGTTCAGGACGGCCTCTTTTATCATTAGCATATTAGCATCATTTTCCCAGTGTTCTTTGTATCTGCTCCGTGACCCCTGACCCCTGGTATGTGTGACCTCTGATCCCTGGTATTTGTGACCTCTGACCCCTGGTACTGTGACCTCTGACCCCTGGTATGTGTGACCTCTTACACCTGGTATGTGTGACCTCTGACCCCTGGTGTGTGTGACCTCTGACCCCTGGTGTGTGTGACCTCTGAACTCTGGTGTGTGTGACCTCTGACCCCTGGTGTGTGTGACCTCTGAACTCTGGTGTGTGTGACCCCCGACCCCTGGTGTGTGACCTCCTTCACCTGTTTGAAGAGCTGCAGGTTCACGGCCATCGACAGGAAGCTCCTCATGGTGCTGGAGCGATGGTTCACGAAGCTCTCCTCACAGAAGGTGATGGGCTCCCCCTGTGGGCGAGAGACGGAACTGCACCTCAATATAACTGTATGAATGTGAGAGAGACCAGAGAGACCAGAGAGAGACCAGAGAGAGACCAGAGAGAGACCAGAGAGAGATTAGAGAGAGAGACCAGAGAGAGAGCAGAGAGAGACCAGAGAGAGACCAGAGAGAGACCAGAGAGAGATTAGAGAGAGAGACCAGAGAGAGAGCAGAGAGAGACCAGAGAGAGACCAGAGAGAGATTAGAGAGAGAGCAGAGAGAGACCAGAGAGAGATTAGAGAGAGATTAGAGAGACCAGAGAGAGATCAGAGAGAGAGACCAGAGAGAGACCAGAGAGAGATTAGAGAGAGAGATTAGAGAGAGAGACCAGAGAGAGATTAGAGAGAGAGATTAGAGAGAGACCAGAGAGAGATTAGAGAGAGATATTAGAGAGAGAGACCAGAGAGAGACCAGAGAGAGACCAGAGAGAGATTAGAGAGAGACCAGAGAGAGACCAGAGGGAGAAACCAGAGAAAAATCAGAGAGAGAGACAAGAGAGAAAGACCAGAGAGAGACCAGAGAGAGACCAGAGAGCGAGACCAGAGAGAGACCAGAGAGAGACCAGAGAGAGAGACCAGAGAGAGACCTGCGAGTGACCAGAGAGAGAGACCAGAGAGAGACCAGAGAGAGCCTAGAGAGAGAGACCTGCGAGTGACCAGAGAGAGAGGCCAGAGAGAGAGACCAGAGAGAGACCAGAGAGAGACCAGAGAGAGAGACCAGAGAGAGACCAGAGAGAGAGACCAGAGAGACCAGAGAGAGAGACAAGAGAGAGAGACCAGAGAGAGAGACCAGAGCGAGCCTAGAGTGAGAGACAAGAGAGAGAGACCAGAGAGAGAGACCAGAGAGAGACCAGAGAGAGACCAGAGAGAGATGTCAGATCCAATGAAGACCCAGCTTCAGGTCTTCATTAGGAGGAAACAGAACAATATGAGATTAAAATACGCTTTTTTGGACAAAGAATAAAAGTATGATTCTATAATTACAGTTTGTTACATCATGGTTTGGCCCCGGAGCCAGAGAGACACCAACTACTGCGGGCCAATCACACACCAGCTCACACTGTAATTAGCCCCCCCCACAAACAGACACACACAGACGCACACACACAGACACAGATGCACACACACAGACACACACACACACACACACACACACACACACACACACACACACACACACAGACGCACACACACAGACGCACACACACACACACACACACACACAGACGCACACACACACACAGACACAGATGCACACACACAGACACACACACACACACACACAGACGCACACACACACACAGACGCACACACACACACACACACACACACACACACACACACACACACACACAGACGCACACACACAGACGCACACACACACACACACACACACACACACACAGACGCACACACACACACACACACACACACACACAGACACAGATGCACACACACAGACACACACACACACACACACAGACGCACACACACACACAGACGCACACACACAGACGCACACACACACACACACACACACGCAGACGGACACACACAGACGCACACACACACACACACACACACAGACGCACACACACACACACACACACACACGCAGACGGACACACACAGACGCACACACACACACACACACACACGCAGACGGACACACACAGACGCACACACACACACAGACACAGACGCACACACACACACACACACACACACACACGCACACACAGCGGCTGTTGGACTGAAGAGTACAGCTGTGTGTTTTCAGACCGAGAGGGTTTGGCCTGGATTACATCACAGGAGAAGGCTTCGCTTGCGTCAACTTTCGGAGGAACAATCGGTGTTTGTGAAAAGGAGATGAAAGAGAAGGAGAGAGAATCAGCCCGATGTGTGGGAGAGGTTTAAAATAAAATGAGTTTCTAATGTTTTTGGTCAGTTTGAGTAATACGTTTATTACATCACCGCAGTGTTAGCATTCATGCGGACGTTAGCTAGCTGGAGCTCATTTCCATATATGTTCCAACGGCGTTAGCGTCGTTGCTTTGCCCGTAACAGAGGCAGACGTGTTGCTAAGACGGTTGCTAAGGTGAGGTGTAGTTCCCTGAATGAAGGCCTCTGATTGGTCAGTCCTTATAGGGTCTTTCTGGGTGTTCACATTAACATAAACTGGACTGGTCCCCAGAAAGCCTACGCCTCAATGCTGGATCATGGAATGCTTGAAGTTGTACAATATCAACAGGGCTCTAAGGGACTTCGTTGCAAACTCGATGGGAATGTGGAAGACCACCCTTGAGGCAAATGGCCGCTCGCACAAGTGACCATCAACTGTGGTCTCTACCAAGGAGATGCTCTGTCCCCACTACTGTTCTGCAGAGGCCTCAACCCTCTAAGCCAAGTAATCGACCAGACTGGCTATGGATACCGCCTCAGGAACGGAGCAAAGCGAGAGAGACATTGACTCTCTGATCCAAACCACCAGGATCTACACTAGACTCTGATCCAAACCACCAGGATCTACACTAGACTCTGATCCAAACCACCAGGATCTACACTAGACTCTGATCCAAACCACCAGGATCTACACTAGACTCTGATCCAAATAACCAGGATCTACAGCCATGACATTGGGACGTCATTCGGACTTGAGAAATGTAGCAGGATGGTGACTCGGAGAGGCAAGGTAGTCCACACAGAAGGGATCTCACTCCCAGAGGGAACAATAGCAGACGCTGAGGACAGTTACAAGTATCTCAGTATACCACAGTATCTCAGTATACCACAGTATCTCAGTATACCACAGTATCTCAGTATACCACAGTATCTCAGTATACCACAGAATCTCAGTATACCACAGTATCTCAGTATACCACAGTATCTCAGTATACCACAGTATCTCAGTATACCACAGTATCTCAGTATACCACAGAATCTCAGTATACCACAGTATCTCAGTATACCACAGTATCTCAGTATACCACAGTATCTCGGTATACCACAGTATCTCAGTTTACCACAGTATCTCGGTATACCACAGTATCTCGGTATACCACAGTATCTCAGTTTACCACAGTATCTCGGTATACCACAGTATCTCAGTTTACCACAGTATCTCGGTATACCACAGTATCTCAGTATACCACAGTATCTCAGTATACCACAGTATCTCAGTATATCACAGTATCTCAGTAGACCACAGTATCTCAGTATACCACAGTATCTCAGTTTACCACAGTATCTCGGTATACCACAGTATCTCAGTATACCACAGTATCTCAGTATACCACAGTATCTCAGTATATCACAGTATCTCAGTAGACCACAGTATCTCAGTATACCACAGTATCTCAGTATATCACAGTATCTCAGTAGACCACAGTATCTCAGTTTACCACAGTATCTCAGTATATCACAGTATCTCAGTTTACCACAGTATCTCAGTATACCACAGTATCTCAGTATACCACAGTATCTCAGTATATCACAGTATCTCAGTAGACCACAGTATCTCAGTTTACCACAGTATCTCAGTAGACCACAGTATCTCAGTTTACCACAGTATCTCAGTATATCACAGTATCTCAGTATACCACAGTATCTCAGTATACCACAGTATCTCAGTATACCACAGTATCTCAGTATACCACAGTATCTCAGTAGACCACAGTATCTCAGTTTACCACAGTATCTCAGTATATCACAGTATCTCAGTATACCACAGTATCTCAGTAGACCACAGTATCTCAGTATATCACAGTATCTCAGTAGACCACAGTATCTCAGTTTACCACAGTATCTCAGTATATCACAGTATCTCAGTATACCACAGTATCTCAGTAGACCACAGTATCTCAGTATATCACAGTATCTCAGTAGACCACAGTATCTCAGTTTACCACAGTATCTCAGTAGACCACAGTATCTCAGTTTACCACAGTATCTCAGTATATCACAGTATCTCAGTATACCACAGTATCTCAGTAGACCACAGTATCTCAGTATATCACAGTATCTCAGTATACCACAGTATCTCAGTATACCACAGTATCTCAGTATACCACAGGCAAATGGCAACCTCAAACAGGTGACGAGGAAAGCGGCAACTGCCAAATACCTCCAGCGAGTAAGGCAGGTCCTACAGTGCCTTGCAAAAGTATTCACCCCCTTGGCTTTTGTTACATTACAGCCTTTACTTCAATGTTTTTTAATCTGAATTTTATGTGATGGATCAGAAAACAATAGTCTGTGAAGTGAATTGAGAAAAATATATACATAAAACTATTTTTCAGAAATAAAAAACTGTAAATTGGCATGTGCATAAGTATTCACCCCCTTTGTCATGAAGCCCATAAAAAGCTCTGGTGCAACCAATGACCTTCAGAAGTCACATACATAGTGAAAGGATGTCCACCTGTGTGCAGTCTAAGTGTCACATGATCTGTCAGTACATGTACGCACCTATATACTGTATATATACTGTATATATACTATATACTATATATATATATATATATATATATATATATATATATATATATATATATATATATATATATATATAGTATATATATATATATACATACACAGTATGTGTATGTATATATATATACATATATAACATATAAAGTATTATTTTGGTCTATATAGTGAGAGTGAAGTGTTGATGTGCTGCAGATGAAAAGCCTTGAAGCCTCAGAGCTCAGATGTGGCTGCAGCGGAGGAGCCGTGCTGAGCTGCAAATTAAACAATAGCGCGACATGCTAACGATGGCGGGGGCCCCGCTAACGAGTCCGGGCCCCGACACTGAGTCCGCCTCAAACACTGTGATCTCAGACTGACGCTCTCCTCCGGCTCCTCGTGTGCGAACCCAAAGAGCCGCAAATAGACGGTTTTCACAAGTGCTGAAGTGCGAGGGTTCAGGACCAAGACCGAGATCAGGACCAAGACCGAGATCAGGACCAAGACCAAGATCAGGAACCAGGACTTTCCACCGAACAAAGAGTAAGAAATATTTGTTTTGTTCCATATTTATCTTATGGAAGAACGGCTGTTTAGTAGCTAGGCTAACATCAGACTACAGTCCTGGGTCTACAGCCTCAGTCCTGGGTCTACAGCCTCAGTCCTGGGTCTACAGCCTCAGTCCTGGGTCTACAGCCTCAGTCCTGGGTCTCTGGCCTCAGTCCTGGGTCTCGGGCCTCAGTCCTGGGTCTCGGGCCTCAGTCCTGGGTCTCGGGCCTCAGTCCTGGGTCTCGGGCCTCAGTCCTGGGTCTCGGGCCTCAGTCCTGGGTCTCGGGCCTCAGTCCTGGGTCTACCGTCTCAGTCCTGGATAGATCCTGGACAGAGGTCTTATTGAATCCAACACATGTCTCTGTTGTGAGTAAATCTCACAAACTCACATCAATAATGCAGCAGACTCCGGGATTCTACAAACTCCACTAACTCCAATTAATCTCAGACCAAAGGAACAAAGAGACGCCTTCTTTCACAAACAGGATCAGCTCTCAGGACTGAGGACTGGACCGGTCCAGGACCAGAGGAGGCTAAAGGCAGAGTCAGAGCACAGGGCTCAGAGCACAGGGCTCAGAGCACAGGGCTCAGAGCACAGGGCTCAGAGAGACTGGTCCAGAACACTCAGCATTGACACACATGTGGAACGGAGCTTTGGGCCAAGAGCCAACTTTTGGACCATCCTGTAAAGACGTTTCAGAGAGGTCTGCCAACGCTATATGTTAGCATTGGCTAATTCTTTTTCTGGGTCCACCCCCACAGGCCCGGGGTGGTACTGCAGCATGTCAGCGCACGTCATTTTGGCCACTTTTGAGCCGGGACCCGCCCCCACTGGTCCCCACACAAATTTATATTATTGACCTTCACAGAGTTCATCCGTGACATGTCTGAGGAGCACAGGGACTGGCCTCCTGCTGGGACTCTGAGGAGCACAGGGACTGGCCTCCTGCTGGGACTCTGAGGAGCACAGGGACTGGCCTCCTGCTGGGACTCTGAGGAGCACAGGGACTGGCCTCCTGCTGGGACTCTGAGGAGCACAGGGACTGGCCTCCTGCTGGGACTCTGAGGAGCACAGGGACTGGCCTCCTGCTGGGACTCTGAGGAGCACAGGGACTGGCCTCCTGCTGGGACTCTGAGGAGCACAGGGACTGGACTCCTGCTGGGACTCTGAGGAGCACAGGGACTGGCCTCCTGCTGGTCCCAGAGTCAGGACTAACCATGAGCATAGATAGTAGTAGTAGTAGGTGCAGGAGTCTCACCGGTCGGTACCGCAGTGCGTCCCGGTACGATCCGAACAGAGCGGCCTGAGAGCGGAGGAAGGCCCTCGCCACGCCACACCCTGTGGCCGTCGACTGCTTCTTCAGTTTGCTCTTCAGAGACGACACCTGCACACAGTTTATTCATCATTAGCAGAAAAGTAAGTAAGTCTTTATCTATACAGCGCACTTCACACATGGTCCTTTACCATGTGTTCAGACATGGTTCCTTTCTCTTCACATCGGACACATGTGGAAGAGTCCCCAGGGTCCACCACGTTTATCAAAGTCCATCATTTATGAGTCGTTTTCACCTTTACTCACTTTAACCAAGACCTTAAAGTGTCAAAGTGTGACCAAATGTAAACAGTGAGTGATAAAAACTGGCTCTTCTCAGAACCAGAAACAAAACCAGGAACAAGATCAGTCTAAGCCCAGGCCCAGGCCCAGGCCCAGGCCCAGGACCTTGGAGAAGAGGATGTTGTTTGCCGTTACACAAACTATAAACTGTACAAACACTAAATATATAAACAGAACAAAGTCACAGAAGAACAAAAATTAGTCATTATGTTTTCAGAATTAAAGCGAGTGTTTATGGTGCCTTTCATGGTACAGTGGGGCCAAAAAGTATTTAGTCAGCCTCCGATTGTGCAAGTTCTCCCACTTAAAATAATGACAGAGGTCTGTAATGTTCATCATAGGTTCACTTCAACTGTGAGAGACAGAATGTGAAAAAAAATCCAGGACCTCACATTGTAGGATTTTTAAAGAATTTATTTGTAAATTATGGTGGAAAATAAGTATTTGGTCAATGACACAAATTCAACTCATACTTTGTAATAACAGAGGTCAAACGATTACTATAGGTCTTTACCAGGTTTGCGCACACCGTAGCTGGTATTTTGGCCCATTCCTCCATGCAGATCTTCTCGAGAGCAGTGAACACGGACTTTCAACGCCCTCCACAGATGTTCAATGGGGTTGAGGTCTGGAGACTGGCTCGGCCACTCCAGGACTTTCAAATGCTTCTTACGGAGCCACTCCTTCGTTGCCCGGGCGGTGTGTTTGGGATCATTGTCATGCTGGAAGACCCAGCCACGTTTCATCTTCAAAGCTCTCACTGATGGAAGGAGGTTTTGGCTCAAAATATCACGATACATGGCCCATTCATTCTTTCCTTAACACGGATCAGTCGTCCTGTCCCCTTAGCAGAAAAACAGCCCCAAAGCATGACGTTTCCACCCCCATGCTTCACAGTAGGTATGGTGTTCTTGGGATGCAACTCAGTATTCTTCTTCCTCCAAACAGGACGAGTTGAGTTTATACCAAACAGTTGTACTTTGGTTTCATCTGACCACATGACATTCTCCCAATCCTCTGCTGTATCATCCATGTGCTCTCTGGCAAACTTCAGACGGGCCTGGACATGCACTGGCTTCAGCAGGGGGACACGTCTGGCTCTGCAGGGTTTGATTCCCTGTCGTCGTAGTGTGTTACTGATGGTAACCTTTGTTACTTTGGTCCCAGCTCTCTGCAGGTCATTCACCAGGTCGCCCCGTGTGGTTCTGGGATTTTTGATCACCGTTCTCATGATCATTTTGACCCCACGGGATGAGATCTTGTGATCGAGGGAGATTATCAGTGGTCTTGTATGTCTTCCATTTTCTGATAATTGCTCCCACAGTTGATTTGTTCACACCAAGCTGCTTGCCTATTGTAGATTCACTCTTCCCAGTCTGGTGCAGGTCTACAATTCTTTTCCTGGTGTCCTTGGACAGCTCTTTGGCCTTGGCCATAGTGGAGTTTGGAGTCTGACTGTTTGAGGCTGTGGACAGGTGTCTTTTATACAGATGAGTTCAAACAGGAGCCATTAATACAGGTAACGAGTGGAGGACAGAAGAGCTTCTTAAAGAAGAAGTTACAGGTCTGTCAGAGCCAGAGATCTTCCTTGTTTGAAGTGACCAAATACTTATTTTCCACCATCATTTACAAATAAATTCTTTAAAAATCCTACAATGTGAATTCCTTTTCACATTCTGTCTCGCACAGTTGAAGTGAACCTTTGATAAACATTACAGACCTCTGTCAATATTTGAAGTGGGAGAACTAAATACTTTTTTGCCCCACTGTATATTTGTGTGAATGTCAGGAATAACATTGGCCGGGTCTAAAGCAGTGGTCCCCAACCTGTTTGAGTCGTGGCGCATCTTTGTCATCGCTAACACCACACGACCGACTGGATCTGACACAACACTGAAACAGTCTTTCTCATCTGTATTATATTGAAAATGAAAAAAAAAAACTTTCTAATCATCTCAATATTTCCACATGATTTTGAAGCAGTTGATATTGGACCATTTCCAAAACATGTCAAAGTCACACTGCTTAAAAAATACTGGACTAAAGGAAACATAAATAACAGTTATAATGAGATGGATTGTTGTGGTTTGAAAGTAAAGAGACGTCCTCCAAAGATCGAGGCGTGAGTGAAGTTATCACCTCTGAGAGTGCGACAGGAGACGCTGGGCTCGGCCAATCAGGGACAAGTGTGATATTTACAGGTCAGAGAGAGGGGGGTGGGGGATAACCACAGAGGTGTCCTGCCCGAGAGCACAGGAACAGCAGGAGACTGAACCAATGGACTTTGACCAAATCCAAATCTAATTTAGTGAATCTTTAGCATTTACTAAATTCAAATGAATATATACAGCAATAAAGTATGTACTCAAGAAGTCAGCCTCAGTCCTGGTCTACAGCCTCAGTCCTGGGTCTACAGCCTCAGTCCTGGGTCTACAGTCTCAGTCCTGGGTCTACAGCCTCAGTCCTGGGTCTACAGCCTCAGTCCTGGGTCTACAGCCTCAGTCCTGGTCTACAGCCTCAGTCCTGGGTCTACAGCCTCAGTCCTGGGTCTACAGCCTCAGTCCTGGGTCTACAGCCTCAGTCCTGGGTCTACAGCCTCAGTCCTGGGTCTACAGCCTCAGTCCTGGGTCTACAGTCTCAGTCCTGGGTCTACAGCCTCAGTCCTGGGTCTACAGCCTCAGTCCTGGGTCTACAGCCTCAGTCCTGGTCTACAGCCTCAGTCCTGGGTCTACAGCCTCAGTCCTGGGTCTACAGCCTCAGTCCTGGGTCTACAGCCTCAGTCCTGGGTCTACAGCCTCAGTCCTGGGTCTACAGCCTCAGTCCTGGGTCTACAGTCTCAGTCCTGGGTCTACAACCTGACTGCTTCTCTAATCTGCTGTCTGTGAATCAGCACTTTGCAAAGTCCTCCGAGACGACTGCTGTGATTCTGAGTGAAAACAATGGAATCGAAAGACTTTGGAAAATCCTCAGTTTTTGTGAAAAACTCAAACCTTTCTCTTTAGAGTAAGTTCTGCTCGAGTCATTATGAGATTATGTAGAAAGAGTCTGAGTGCTGCATACAGGAGATGGGACTATTGTTAACGGGCCCAATCTCTCACATCCTCCTCCTCTTCATCCTCTTCATCACCCTCTTCATCACCCTCTCCTTCATCCTCTTCATCAGGAGTGGCGTGAGCGTGTGGTCTCCTGCCGTGCGCCCGCCTGGACTCACTCTCACACACTCCAGACGCTAAGTCATTATTCTCCCTCGATGGGAGTCCGGCAGAGAGAGGAGGAGGAGGAGGAGGAGGAGGAAGAGGAGAGCCTGTTTAAGGATGACAAAAGAGGCAGGACGGGCCCCGGGCCCCGGGGAGCCACCGAGGAAGTTGTCAAGAGCCGGTGTTCACCTGCTCAGTGTGAGAGACACACACTTCATCATTAGAGAAAGTCTAGACTCAGGACAAATCTCTCACACACACACACAGAAACACACACACACACGGACACACAGGGACACACACACACACACACACAGACACACACACACACACAGAAACACACACACACACGGACACACAGACACACGGACGTACAAAACACATACGCACACACGCAATAGGGACTGAAACATCAGATCCTCCAGAAGTGATCACTGCAGAGAGTATACATATGTACCTCAGTATACATACCTGTCTCAGTATACATATATACCTCTGTCTCAGTATACATACAGACCTGTCTCAGTATACATACAGACCTCTGTCTCAGTATACATACAGACCTCTGTCTCAGTATACATACAGACCTCTGTCTCAGTATACATACAGACCTCTGTCTCAGTATACATACAGACCTCTGTCTCAGTATACATACAGACCTCTGTCTCAGTATACATACAGACCTCTGTCTCAGTATACATATATACCTCTGTCTCAGTATACATACAGACCTCTGTCTCAGTATACATACAGACCTGTCTCAGTATACATACAGACCTCTGTCTCAGTATACATACAGACCTCTGTCTCAGTATACATACAGACCTGTCTCAGTATACATACAGACCTCTGTCTCAGTATACATACAGACCTCTGTCTCAGTATACATACAGACTAGGGTTTAATCCCAGGATACGGGATTCCCGGGAAATCTGATGAAAACTATTTCCCGATTCCCGGGAAATGTTATGACGGGAAACGGGAAATGAAAGTAAAAAAAAATACAGTGCGCTCCTATTATAAAGCACGTTTATTGTTGTTCAAAGTTCAAACATATTTCATTTACAATCCACATGTCTACAGCTGAGAGGATGGCTCCTAAATTGTGTTTTTGACAACAAATATGGGTCTTAATCGCGCTAAACCACGACTTGTAATGAGGCCAGGCTCAGGGTACGGGGCGCATGTGAGCCCAGAATTTGGCTACGTCCAATTCTATCAGAAAGCTCCTTTCTTTTTTTCCATCTGCTAAGGGCAGCAACAGGTTTGGCTAACATACATATAACACATTTTAAAATCATATAAAATGCATTTAGGGTAATGTTCTGCTTACAATGACGATAGGAATGATAAGGAAGAGAGGAGAAGGGTAAGAAGGTTGATATTAGAAATTGGATGCGCCCGAGAGTCGGCTGCAGCGAAAACACAGAGAAGTTTATGGAGGTGGCACCCGTTTTGTTTTACGCTTTAAAACTCTTTGGGCTTATTTCCAAATGGGGGATTACATATCTACGCTCAAACTATTATCTGGACTTAAACATGAAACTGGTCTGAACTGAAGTGGTCTGTGCTGTTCATTAATAACTAAGGTAAGACCCATAACACAATTGGAAATGTGCCTTTTACGAACTTTTGCGTTTTGTTTGAGCAAACAATGCGGGCCATGGAAAACATTCTGCTGTAGCCAAACTAATTGTGAATAAGCCGCTCTGTAGGTTCTGTTGATTTATATGATATATGTTCATCTGACAGGGCTGAAGTCAGTGCCTCCAAACCACACCGCACGTCACTTTTTGACAAGTGGATTGCGCAGACATTTAGAATCTCATAATAGTGAAATTCCTGAAGAAAGCCCATCAACAAAACATCTGAAAACGCTATGGCTACTTTAGCAAAGCTAGCAAGTCACTTGGTGAAACACTAGTGGAGATGGCAGCTTTTGTTGGATTATATATTTGAGTGATATCATACATTACTTGGGCTAAAAACAACAGCTATTTCCCGGGATTTCCCGGGAAAGGCGTCGTCTTTTCCCGGGATTTGATACGTCTCATTTTCGGGAAAAATATTAAACCCTAATACAGACCTGTCTCAGTATACATACAGACCTGTCTCAGTATACATACATACTTCTGTCTCAGTATACATACATACTTCTGTCTCAGTATACATACATACCTCTGTCTCAGTATACATACAGACCTGTCTCAGTATACATACATACCTCTGTCTCAGTATACATACATACCTCTGTCTCAGTATACATACAGACCTCTGTCTCAGTATACATACAGACCTCTGTCTCAGTATACATACAGACCTCTGTCTCAGTATACATACAGACCTGTCTCAGTATACATACATACCTCTGTCTCAGTATACATACATACCTCTGTCTCAGTATACATACAGACCTCTGTCTCAGTATACATACAGACCTCTGTCTCAGTATACATACAGACCTCTGTCTCAGTATACATACAGACCTCTGTCTCAGTATACATATATACCTCAGTATTGCTGGGTTGAAGCCACGTGACCAAAAGGGGGCGGGGCATGTGTCCGTAGGACAGGAAGTGTTTTTCTCCTATAGAATAGAATGGGCGATGCTGGAGAACCAGACATAGGAACTTTTCGTGGCTTAGTATCACTCTTATTTTGAGTGAAAACTATTTTAATGCAGCGTACGCTTTGTAAAGTTTGAATGAGTCTTAATGAAGATTAAGGCTGTTATAGAGACGACAGAGGAGTCACTCTGGGATCAACAGAAACATGTCTGATAATAAAGAGAGCACACACTTTACTTTAGAAGCATTTGAAGCAAGAAATCTGACCCTTTATTGTCATTTCAGTGATTGGTTGAGCTGTAAATAACAAAAAGTTCTGACCTGTACTCGAGAGGGGAGCTCTCTCTCTCTGGTCTCTCTCTGGTCTCTCTCTGGTCTCTCTCTGGTCTTTCTCTGGTCTCTCTCTGGTCTCTGTCTAGTCTCTCTCTGGTCTCTCTCTAGTCTCTCTCTGGTCTCTCTCTGGTCTCTCTCTGGTCTCTCTCTGGTCTCTCTCTCTGGTCTCTCTCTGGTCTCTCTGGTCTCTCTCTCTCTGGTCTCTCTCTGGTCTCTCTAGTCTCTCTCTGGTCTCTCTCTGGTCTCTCTCTCTGGTCTCTCTCTCTCTGGTCTCTCTCTCTCTGGTCTCTCTCTCTGGTCTCTCTCTCTGGTTTCTCTCTGGTTTCTCTCTGGTCTCTCTCTCTGGTCTCTCTCTCTAGTCTCTCTCTCTAGTCTCTCTCTGGTCTCTCTCTCTGGTCTCTCTCTCTGGTCTCTCTCTCTGGTCTCTCTCTCTGGTCTCTCTCTCTGGTCTCTCTCTCTGGTCTCTGTCTAGTCTCTCTCTGGTCTCTCTCTGGTCTCTCTCTCTAGTCTCTCTCTGGTCTCTCTCTAGTCTCTCTCTGGTCTCTCTCTGGTCTCTCTCTGGTCTCTCTCTGGTCTCTCTCTGGTCTCTCTGGTCTCTCTCTCTCTGGTCTCTCTCTGGTCTCTCTAGTCTCTCTCTGGTCTCTCTCTCTGGTCTCTCTCTCTCTGGTCTCTCTCTCTCTGGTCTCTCTCTGGTCTCTCTCTCTGGTCTCTCTCTCTGGTCTCTCTCTGGTCTCTCTCTCTGGTCTCTCTCTCTGGTCTCTCTCTCTGGTCTCTGTCTAGTCTCTCTCTGGTCTCTTTCTGGTCTCTCTCTCTGGTCTCTCTCTGGTCTCTCTCTCTAGTCTCTCTCTGGTCTCTCTCTGGTCTCTCTCTCTAGTCTCTCTCTGGTCTCTCTCTGGTCTCTCTCTCTAGTCTCTCTCTGGTCTCTCTCTGGTCTCTCTCTCTGGTCTCTCTCTAGTCTCTCTCTGGTCTCTCTCTGGTCTCTCTCTCTGGTCTCTCTCTCTGGTCTCTCTCTCTGGTCTCTCTCTCTGGTCTCTCTCTCTGGTCTCTCTCTCTGGTCTCTCTCTCTGGTCTCTCTCTCTCTGGTCTCTCTCTCTAGTCTCTCTCTGGTCTCTCTCTCTGGTCTCTCTCTGGTCTCTCTCTGGTCTCTCTCTCTGGTCTCTCTCTGGTCTCTCTCTCTGGTCTCTCTCTGGTCTCTCTCTCTAGTCTCTCTCTGGTCTCTCTCTGGTCTCTCTCTGGTCTCTCTCTCTGGTCTCTCTCTCTGGTCTCTCTCTGGTCTCTCTCTGGTCTCTCTCTGGTCTCTCTCTCTGGTCTCTCTCTCTAGTCTCTCTCTGGTCTCTCTCTGGTCTCTCTCTCTGGTCTCTCTCTCTCTGGTCTCTCTCTGGTCTCTCTCTCTAGTCTCTCTCTGGTCTCTCTCTGGTCTCTCTCTCTGGTCTCTCTCTCTCTGGTCTCTCTCTGGTCTCTCTCTCTCTGGTCTCTCTCTGGTCTCTCTCTCTGGTCTCTCTCTCTGGTCTCTCTCTCTCTGGTCTCTCTCTGGTCTCTCTCTGGTCTCTCTCTCTAGTCTCTCTCTGGTCTCTCTCTGGTCTCTCTCTCTGGTCTCTCTCTCTCTGGTCTCTCTCTGGTCTCTCTCTCTAGTCTCTCTGGTCTCTCTCTCTAGTCTCTCTCTGGTCTCTCTCTGGTCTCTCTCTCTGGTCTCTCTCTCTCTGGTCTCTCTCTGGTCTCTCTCTCTAGTCTCTCTGGTCTCTCTCTCTAGTCTCTCTCTGGTCTCTCGCTAATCTGCAAGTTTTTCACATATAAAACACCAACAAATATAAATGATATTTTCACTGATGACAAACCGTAACGCACGGCAACCGCATCACAGGAGGGAGGGGGGGAGAGAGTGAGGGAGGGGGGAGGAGGGTGAGGGAGGGGGGGGGGGAAACAAAACAAAAAGAATAAAATGCAATGCAATAATTGGCGTTTAGCGGTGCCGCCGTGTGCCCGTCAAGCCGCTCGCCATGGTAACGGGCGCTGTCAGGCTAATTAGCTCGTGCCGTGGTCTCGGGGCAAAGCGAACACGGCGCTTCAGACGCCGGGCGAGCGCTACAGGTGACACGGCGTTCGCCGCTGACATTTCTCAGTGTAAAGTCACAGGATCAAAGCCGCCACTCTCCACCGAGTCCAATTAGAAGTGTGCCATTGTGAGGGAGGGGGGAGGGGGTGGAGGGCGGAGGGGGGGAGGCTGTTTGTGAGCGTGTGCTTATATAATCACACGTCTGAGATTCAAGAGATTTAAGAGAAAAGAAAAGTGTCGATCGGTAAAATGTTAAACAGAGTAAACTTGACTCAGAACAGCAGGGTTTCTATCGTCTTCCATCAGTGTCAGAGAGAAGAGAGGACCCCCCTCTCTTGGCCAATCAGCTCTCAGCACCAGAAGTCCGATTGAGACTCACAGGGATCCTTCTTACACTGACAACAAAAGGTGTCCCTCTCTGGTCCCTCTCTGATCCCTCTCTGGTCCCTCTCTGGTCTCTCTCTCTGGTCTCTCTCTGGTCTCTCTCTGGTCCCTCTCTGGTCCCTCTCTGGTCCCTCTCTGGTCCCTCTCTGGTCCCTCTCTGGTCTCTCTCTCTGGTCTCTCTCTCTGGTCTCTCTCTCTGGTCTCTCTCTCTGGTCTCTCTCTCTGGTCTCTCTCTCTGGTCTCTCTCTGGTCTCTCTCTCTGGTCTCTCTCTCTGGTCTCTCTCTCTGGTCTCTCTCTGGTCTCTCTCTGGTCCCTCTCTGGTCCCTCT